GAACACCCTCACCTTCAATGTCCAATCACAATAAAGTGATTATTTACCAGTTGAGCATCACAATATAGGCACCGACACGCGGACAATAGTCCTGTCTGTCTGTTCGTATCGCTATTTATCATCTATATTGATAGCCGCCGTCTATACGAAGGTAGGCAGGTAAGCATGAATTAGCTAGTATATTGAATTCCATGCTAAATTGAATGGTGAAGTGTAGATTTCTGTTGAATAGAAAGTGTTACATCATTCTTGGTTATTGAAGACTGTTGATTGCTGTTTCGAAGGTTAGGGATGGTTTAGACAAAGCCTATATTAATATTATGTTGTACCAGGATTCTGGAAAATCTGTGTAGAAAATTGCTTGCGTAATTATTGTTAAAAGTTTATATAATAATAAGTAACTTAACATCATGGCTTTTATCCCCGGAGGGGTAGGCAGAGGTGCACATTACGGCACTTAATGCCACTGTACAATGTAACACAGACTTTTCACTATTTATGTTATGAGTCCCATGTAATAGAGGGTGAGCCTTTTGCCATATACCGGGCACAATTCTAAACTCCGAGACTAAGAATTTTTAAAAACCTCAGTAATGCTTTGCCGATCCGGGAATTGAACCCGAGATCCCTTGCCCGGCAGTCGTACTTGCGACCACTCGGCCAACGAGGCAGTCTAACAACCTACTTAAACTTACTTAAGCCTTAAAGTTATATATATTTAGACACATCGGACGTTTTGCATACAAAGTAATTTATTATTAGAGAAGTGTATGTGTGGTATATGCAGCGGTGTGACGTAATTTATGTTCAATACCGAACCCGAGACACTACACTGCTGTAATAACTTTATTACATACTGGTGCAGTTTATATATTAAAACTAGCTATTTACCCCGACATTGCACGTGTCTAATTTTCTGAGTTGGCTGGTAGACGTTTTCGTTTTTTTTCTTTTCTGTAAAACTTTTTTTTTTAGTGTAATATGTCAATGATTCACACTGATTGAGTTTACTTCTGGTGTGTATTAATATATTTTATAGCGTTATAAGAAAATATAATACTATATAGGTACTAAAATTATCCTTTTAGGTGGATGTAAAATCAAGGTTTGATTGTCTTGTATTTATATTATTGAACTTAAAAAAGAAAGAATTTTATTTTTAAGATCGTGATAAAAATTACATGACTTCCACGATTTCTCAGAACCTAAACACAAAAATTCAATTAGTTACCTAATGCCTTAATTTTAAACTTTATTAACTAGCCTCGTCAACGTACTAAAACTTTTTATTCTTTGTTAGACTTAGACGACATCTATGCACTAACCATTAGTACTAACTCAATCCCAAATTTACTCCTCAATACAACCTGAAAAAGTTCACAAAACAGAGACGAAGCCTATGGTGCCGCCATCTACTCGCTTTAATTTGAACTACGCCTGTAGAGCAAACAGTATTCTAAATTCAGTTCAGTAAATGTTACATAGATGTCGCTAATACCAAGATACTGAATACTATTTTATTGTAATTTTTAAGTTTTGTTTAGTAAAATATTTACGCAAGTTTTTGGCGCTAAATATCAGTTAAGCTTTTCTTGTATAAAAGGACTATTTTTTTATTTTTTTAGATTGTCAGTATGCATAGGTATGTGAGCACCATGTTAAACTACTTATAAGATTTTTTTTATATTTTTTTTTGTTTTTTTTTTAATAAGTTTTGTAATTTGTATAGGTAATACGTCAAGCGTGTCTTTGCATTGTTCTCATATACTATACGTACAGTATTGGAATATGTATCAAAGACATTGTAGAACATACTTTTTTTTAGAAAGAGGAATGAATTGTGTTTCTTGCTCGTTTTTCTCCATTCTAATCTATATTTTGGAATGAGCACCTAGCTTCACTGATGGACTGACAGACAGACTATTATTTATTTTGCATTTGTTGACGTTCCTCAAGTACCAAATTATGGTTTAATGCTTTGACTTTGACTAACTTATGTAGTTGCCTATTGCCTGTGGAGTTCTTTAAGGCCACATAAAATGTAAAGAGATCTAGCCGCATAAGGATAAAATTGCTCTATTACTATTACCCAATGCTAGTCTTACGAGGTACAAGCAATGCTAAATTCAGAACGTAATTCATATAATTCATAGACCTATCAATATCAATAACCTACCCGTGTCATATCAAACCCCAGTCTTCCTTCTTTCTTTATTTTCTGTATGTAACATAATATGCACGCATCACGCCTAATGTGTTCCGAAATACGATATCAAAATTCACCATATTTTCCCATTCGAGGGAAATAGAGGAAAACAATAAAAGCATATGAGTGTAAAACTTCATCATCGGTTGAGTATTAAGAAATACTACTGCAATAACAGATCTCGAGTTTCATTCCCTAGTCGGGTACAAGTAATATTATAGCTTTTATAAATGGAAAAAAAATCAATAGTAATACCACGTCGGTATTTGACAATAAGCTTACCCTCTATACCTAGTAAGTCGCGGAGAACCTAACGGATTACCGTGGCTCCGGCTCGACGTGCACGAGAAGGAACGGGATGGTTTTGAGTCAGTAAGAGTCTGACACTCCCGCCCGCCTCACCCAGGCGGCAGCAGTCAGTCGATGATTTTCCCCACTTAAAAAATACCTAGTAAGTAAGTGTAGCATAAAGAGGACAAAATTGTTTTTTTTTTGTTTAAATTGAATTAAAATAAAAGTGTATGATACATTTATGCACCTAGAACCTAACGGGTAACCGGGGCTCCGTCTCGACGTGCAGGAGAAGGAACGGGGTGGTTTTTAGTCAGTAAGAGTCTGACACTCCCTCCCGCCTCACCCAGGCGGGAGCAGTCATTCGATGATTTCCTCCTTAAAAATAAATACCTAGTTTTTCAGGGGTTTGAAGGCGAAGCAATCATGCTAGCTAAGGAAGAGGCGGGGCGCATGAAGCAACGAACCACCTCCTCACAACTCAGTCGTCGTGAATGATACTCCAGGATCGCGAGATGATCTCCGGCCACCGTAAGTACGGGCCTACAGACGACGAGCACGGGTATCACGCCGCACGGCCAGAATCAGACCCGAGTGTGCGGCGCGTTGCGTTCCGCGTACGCCTCAGAGAGTCATCAGACCACCACAGATGGCCTGATGCCAATACAGAGCTGTGGAGGACTTAACGGATAGCCGGGGCTCCGGCTCGATGTGCACTAGTATGAACGGGGTGGTTCTTAGTCAGTAAGAGTCTGACATTCCCTCTCGCACCACCCGCTCGTGAGAAACCCCGGGGGTTTGACGCCGTAAAATTACGTTACATAAATATGAAAGCTTTATCTTTCAATCACGTTTTTATCCAGAAATTGGTTTCATAATAAGGATCCGAGCAATCCCGGCTTCATCACGTGCACGTTCCAGTGCCCAAAATGTTTACTGGTTTTTTAAGTTTCTTCTTTTTAACCGACTTCAAAAAAAGGAGGAGGTTCTCAATTCGACCGTATATATGCTTTTTTTTGTTTTTTTTTTATGTTTGTTCGCCGATATCTCCGTCGTTTATGAACCGATTTTAAAAATTCTTTTTTTGTTGGAAAGGAGATAGTTCCAGAATGGTCCTATAATAAGGAAATCAGGATCAAATTAGGATGGAAGACCAGGGAAACCGAGGGGAACTTTTAAAAATTATAGGGGCGACTAGGGCATTTGGTAGTTTTTTCATTAAGTATTGAAAACCACTACAATTTGGTAAAAGTCTGGAGCCGATCTGATGATGGAGCCGAAAGCCAGTCGAGGGAACTCCTCAACGGTTACCAGTAGCTACCTTGTGTTTGGGTTTGATTAATTTGTATTGATAAGGACTTTATACTTGGGTGGGGTGTAATTGTCAATAAGGGTCTGATGATGAAGTAGTACGATAGTTGAGGGAACTCCTCAACGGTTACCAGTAGCTATGTTGTGTTTGGGTTTATTAATTTGTATTGATGAGGTCGTTACCTACACCTAGATGGGAGGGGTGATGGTTATCAAAGGTCCAATGATGAAGTAGTATGATAGTTAAGGGACTCCTCAATGGTTAAAAGTACCCATCCAGTGTTTGAACTTGAAAAATTTGTATTGATGAAAACTTTGCATACATGTGGGTTGTGCATAATATATATCAAAGCACAAAACTAAAAAGTATAATATAAAATTAAAAAACTGCGTTTAAAAAAACCGACTTCAAAAACAAATGACTAACAAAAAGTAAAAACTAAAAGGGAAAAAAATAACTATTATTGGTCATACGTACTTATAGCTTACACACCCACTGATAGGTTAGAAGTCGGTGCCACATGTTTTAAACAAAATTATTCATTAAAACCTTAATAGATACCCTTCTGTTATGGTAACTTTATCTCCCATTATAAGTATAAAATTATGTTTTATATTATGTCAAGAGTAAGCCATGTGTTTAATGATGTCAAAATACATTAAAATACACCTTAAGTATCTACTAAAATATGAAAACCATTCCGAAGCATATATTGTTATCTAATCATCCGCCTACAAAATTCAAATTGCGTCTGCAGAGCTTAATCCAAGTCGACACGCATTATTTACCCTTCATTATCACAAAGTAAGGCATTTGATTGACCTTCAAAATTTTCCTAAGAGCACGTGTTCAAACATACACAAATTGCGTAACAAAATCCTGTTTTATAGACTACAGTATAATACTGAAAAAGAACCCTATGCTTACGCCTTAAAACATAGGCAGTATTTCCCTAAACTTAATGAAAATAAGGTTCGTTTTCCTTTAACAAAAAAGGATAGATCTCATTTCGAAGAGAAAACTGGCGAGAAAATTTCCACTTCGCTATACTAAGTACAGTCACATCGAAAATCACCTGCGTAGTTGTTCGCAGGGCGCTTGCGCGGGCCCATCGACCCGGCAGCGTGTCAACTCCGTCTCATTCGCCCGGTTCTACCAAATCGGTGAGTACGAAAGCAATTTACCCGTGTACGGACTATGTGATAAGATTCCATTACAAAGACGTTTTTAAAAGGAGTGCATGTATCTTGCGGTGGCGTTAATAATAATTATAGCAAGTTTGGTCAGAATTCATGTAAGTCATTTTTTTTTATTTTACCATAAAGCACTGCTTTTCTTCCTGACTGGTGGCACTCAAGTTCAAGGCATGAATTCATGTGTAAAGGTTGATGTTATTGATTTTTTTATGTGTTATGCACCCACGTGACTGTTTGATGTAACTTCGTTATCAAAATGCAAATAGAGCTAAATGTGTCATTGATACTGTTTGATAAGTAATCCATTGAGCCACGGTTTTAGGGATCGATATTTTTTAGCTTATTTTGTTTAAATGCCTGATATTATCAATCTGTTGAAATGCTTAATTCTCTTCAAACGAGTTTCTTTACTATCATCTTTTATTAACTTCGATGTACTTGAAACCGAGAAAATTTCTATATTGTCCTATTAGTTTGTACGAAGCATGTATTGCGTAACATTAATTAATAAATTAACTTTATTAAAAATTATATATACATAAATAATTCGAAAAGGTTATTTATGAAAATGATTATTACTGTTATTGGTTGCATTAAGACAGGAGGCTACTAACCACATGTTGCACGGTATTTAGTGCCACGTTGTCAGGTGTCATGCGCAGAACGCATCAAAAACAATGCAAGCCATATTTGCAGCTGAATTTATTTATTTAGAACTAACATTTCATTTGGTAACTGGCCTTCTTACATGATAGTGGTAATGCGGAATTATGAGAAGACTAGCAGCCCATCCCGGCTTCGCACGGGGTAGACAATTATTTATTTTTGGAAATTTGGATTGTTGTAGTGACATAACTACAATAGTTGGACATATGCTACCGCGGAGTTTTTGTAGACATTATGATGTTCTTCAATATTGTTTTACATTATTTTGTTCTATCGCTAATAGTTTCGGCAGCGCATTCGACGAAAGACATTTTAAGACTCATTTTTCTACACCTTCGGTTACATTGTTCAAATTTTACCAAGGATCCCAAATTTTTTTATGTCAAATTGGAAGAATGTAGCATTCTATTGGTGAAAGAATTTTTTAAATCAGCCCAATACTTTTTGATCCTATTCATTACAAACATACAAAAATAGGTACAAATCTTTCCTCTTTATAATATTAGTATAGATAAAACCAACCGAATGAATTTGCATATGTTATGGGCAGATGCACTCCAGCGGCCGAAACATCGCTTTCCACCACGCGAGATAATGGCCAAACATCGACCCATCAAATACAAAAAAAAACCTTTTATTTTAGTACAGAAAGATATATTGCTATCAGAAAAAATCTCAATGTGCTAAATAAATATTTCCGCTAAAATGAACCTTGTTGCTTTAATAAAAGGACTTCGTATCACCCAAATTAGAACTTTGAGTTAAACAAAACGAAATGTTAAAGCAAATCCTAACAATTATTTGGCGATCTCATCTTCCTTTTTGAAAGGTCAAAAGGCCTTTAAATGCTAAGAAAGGTCACGCATTTACAGACCTACCCAACAACGTCGGCTCAGTCTTTTGTCTTCGTCAACTCGTTCATCTATGAAGAATAAGCATAGGTGCACATCATACCTCTATTATCAATGTAACTTGCAATTTTTAGTAATTAACTTTGATTAGCAAGCACATAATAATTCCAGAGCTCAAGACATTTTGATGAGGAAATCTAAAACCCGTATTACGTACTTTGATAAATTTTCAAATCGAAAGAAAAACTTCTTGTTCAGTAGTCTTGAAGGATTTAAAAATATCTTTACATAAATTACACAAGGAATAAGAAAATAAAAACCAGTCATACAAACGCTGAAAAATTAGTAATATTTTTTCGGTCTAAAAACATTAATAAAAGTAGCATGCTCAACATTTTTCTGTTTCTCATACAAATAACAAAGCGGTTTTAAAAGGACCCTTTTTCCCTTTGACGGGCCTCTCTTTATTAAGGAGGACAAAGGAAAATATATTTTTCAATATTCTTCAGTAATGTTCAAAGTCATTGGAGGACGTGCGTAGGCGTCGTAGCGCTACGAAATGTCTGTGCTACGAAAAATATAAGATTACTTTCTCAAGTTCTGTTCTACTGCTAATTTATTTTATGTTTGTTCTACAAAATTTTCGAGTTTAAGGTAGTAAAAAGGTAACTCAGACATAGTGACATTTCCGAATCACCTAATACCTGAAATCGTAATATTCATAATACGAAATTTTATACATATTTCTTTGATAGCAATATTATAAATAGTGTTGTATTATAATTGTGTTTAATTTAACGTTATAAATAAATAATGAGTGTAATACATTATTGGTACAGTTACACACAAAAGCTATTTAAAACAAATGACAAATCAGTGACGCTATCTATGACAAGGATAGAAATGTTATTGCGTTCTTTTTTAAACAAGACATTTCTCCAATAAGGCTATCTATTGGCCAAAAACAAATGACATGTCAATGACGTCACACCTGAAATGATATAAATAGAAATATATCGTGTTCTTTTTCTTAATGGAAACAGTTATTTGTCTTGAATGCTTGACACCAAGGATTTCAATGAGCTTGTTAACAACAAATTAAAAAAGTAATGTTGGATACGAATCTACAATTTGGAATTATTGCCTGGCTAGTATTTAGTACTCGCAGATTAACTATAGATTCTTTAACTTTGACATACATTCATTAGAACCTACCCCAATTTTATTAAGATATAATAAAATTTTATTTGCATTGAATACTAAAAACCTACTGCAAGTATTTGACAAATATTTTCACAAAGTCAAAGCATTTATTTCAATTAATCCTTGGTTAGGCACTTTTGAAACGTCAAAAATTAAATTGTACGTCCGTCTGTCTGTCAGTGAAGCTAGACGCCTCCCATTCACCACAGAAAACCTCAATTCTTTAAGAATAACGTACATTTTTTTTATGGATATCATCCCAACTGCAAACCTACAAAGAATACCTATCGAAAGATTAGGGTAGATGCCTAATTTTTATTTTAATGCCCGTCTGGTAGACTATTTTAAATCATTAGACATTTATTTTTTATTTTCTTACGGACACGAATACTTTCGACGATATATTGATTTAAAATGTCGCGTGACGTCACTTCCATGTACATTTAATACATAGAAATGACGCTTTCGCCCCCACTCCTAAACTTTAATTCGTTTTATCTATGTAAGTATTGTTTTATTAAACGACAAAATAAAAAAATACGTGTCTAATATATTTCATTACCTTACTTACTAATTATATTTTTAGTTTTCATACCCGGTCATCATCCCAATTGTCCTGCACGACAACAAACATTCAGAAACCTAGTAATTATGAATACTGCGATAGAATGCAAATGCGAAATTTTACTTACTCGTGCATTACGTAGGTACTTCTGCATTAAGTTCAAAATTGTTTGTTCATCTCCATAAGATGTTATTTGGGTAAATATCATCACCATTACCAACCTTAGGCAGTCCACTATTGAACTATAGGCACAATTCATTTTTTTTTTCCTTTTTCCTTTTTTTTAAACTTTGTCCCACACCAGGATTTTCTCCTGTATCATAGATGCGTTTTCAAAAATACAAGTTCACATACATATTAGAGAGCTTTGCAATAATCTTCACACTTGGTGAACGGGTCGGAGATCACAGCTTACATGGCCGGGTATTTATCAAAGAGTGTGGATACTCGATCTCTGTAAAGTTCCTCAGTCAGCTCTTACGACAGTCCGACACCTACGGGAAGAATAGCGTCACTCATCAAAAAGGTTACAGAAGAAGAGACAAATATAATACACTGCTACTTGTCTTTTCAGACAGCATCTCTGTTTACCTAGAAGTGATGTAATGTTTAAGTAGGTATGTCGTTGTTATTAAAAAACTAGTTTCTGCCAGTGACTTCGCCCGCGTTTTCGTGGAATAAAAACTAGCCTATATGTTATTCCAAACCATAATCTAACCCTGACCTGGGTTCAAATTTCATCCCGATACCTTTAGCCGTTTTGACGTGAAGAATAAACAAACAAACATACAAACTTTCACTTTTATAATATTAGTAAGATAATACCTATTTCTTTAAATTCTTCTCTCTTTCTTGTAATAAACCTCATGCCCAAAGTAATTTACCCTTTCACCTTTAATTTCCCTTGTTTCTATCTGACGTAGACCCAACGCACGCATGCGCTCTTCTCACAGGCCTCTAACATCATATCATACAAAAATGAACATTATCGCTGTAGTAATAACGTCCAATATTGAGAGACAAGGTCAAATGCATACCCATTTTTCATCCCTTGCACAGAGCGATCGTCATCGTGCAACAGTTCCGCGCGTTCCTTCCGTCAGTATAGACTGCGGCCCGTTTAATTGATTGAGAACCTTATTTCTTAAGAATTTAAGTTCAAAGTAGTTTATCTTATTAATACTTTTCGGGTAAACTGCGTAAATGAACAGCGTAGAGCCCATAGATCATAATTTCTGTCTTATTTTGAAAAAAAGAATATTTTTCATTTGTTGTTTTATTTTCGCATTTGGAAGCTACTTTTTGTTTAAACTAGTAAAGGGTATAATATTTAAGATTAAAACTCTTTTTATGTTTATTTATAACTGGGCCGAGGAAGAGTAAAAAGTGTTTATAGATCTCGCTTTCGATATAAAGGTCGTTATGTGCATACATTACCTGAAAAACAAATCTACTGAGAACAAATTCAAGATATTTCTCGAAAGGTAAGTACCGAACATTAACATACATAATTGTGTACTAGCCTTCATCAAAAATAAATTATTTCCACAGTTCAATACCAAAAAAAAAATCCTTCATTAATTGATTTTATGGCCAACTTCATTTTAGTATTACCCAGCAAATTTTTAAGAAATAAATATACTGTTTGACGCTGAAAAAACGTGACGTCACAATACACAATCTCGTACAAAATTCATAGAGAACTGTCGTTTTTGACAGTTCGAAAAAAGTATTGAATTTGAATATTTGGCAAGTACCCAATTATACAGAGTTATATTATATTTTTTTATGGTCATAAACAACCACCGCAGTC